TATTGACACTGCAGCCAGAACTATGTTTGAGAACACATACTTTAACATTGTAAAGCAATTTGAGGCTTCACTGATAGGCTGCTWACTTTGTATGTGGAGTTTACTCTGAACCCTTTGGAAAAGTATTAAGGCCGCTGTGCAAAAACGTGTTTTTCAGAACTCAGTTTTTTTTTCTCAGAAATTCTAACTTTAATTTTAGAATTCTAATAATGGTAATTTACACCGTGTATCTAACCCTCTTCCACTGAGCAAAAAAAGAAAAAAAAAACAGTACTTAAAAATATTGTTTTAGCGTTATCCTTCACATAATGCCTGTAAGTCATTCCACTTTGTTCAGGATGCATATTTTTGTAATCCAGTCAGCTGATGTTGACAGCAACAACATCAAAGACTCCTGCAGGATTCAGTCAGCACAGTTTATTGTCAGGGATGAAAATAACTCATCCGTCAATTTCAGTTTCTGTGTGTGTGTGTTTGTGTATGTGTGTGTGTGTGTGTGTGTGTGTGTGTGTGTTATGTGTTTCCAGACAAGGGTGTGTCGTGGATGGTGACCACAGTGGACCCGCTGTAGTCGCTGGTGGTGCTGAACTGCTCCAAGTGATTGCCCTCGGCGCTGCTGAGCTCCACTCGGGCCTCGGAGGTTGGGTTGGAGTTGGTGATGCTGCCCGACARGGAGCCGACGGGGTTCAGAGGCATGCTGCCCTGAACTGTGGACTGGGACTGTTTGCCTCGAGGTTTGGAACTGCCTCCTAGGAGTCTGGACGCATGTGTCCGCCTGTCCAAGAYGGCAATTAGATTTTCAATGATATTGTCAATAATACTAGTTTTTCGCATTGTAATGTTGCAAAAAAATAATAATAATAATCAGTAAATCGATTACCAATTTTTGACAGTGGTGTAACTTGATAACCAAAAATTATTGTTTGTATTCACCAGTCTAATTTGATATTCATCTGTCTGTTAGCAAAATATCTCATAAACCAGTGGATGGATTTGAATGAAACGTTCAAATAGCAGTAACTAGATTCACTTCTACAACTGATTAAGATTTGGAGTTAACCTGATACAACATGGCCACCACAGCTTATGAACCTAATCAAACACAACAGCGGCTATAACTGGCTCATGTTTACAGACGTGAAGCTAGAATTTGCTGAGAATCTCCTCCAGTGTATTTTGAGCACAACACCTTGTGTGAGAATTTTGCTTAAAACCCTGGAAACCCAGTCAACCCAGTCTGTCTGTTAGCAAAATAACTCATAAACCACTGGGTGGATTTGAATGAAACTCTCATAAATAGAAACATTGGATGTGCATTTACATCTGATCATACTTTGGAGTCAACCTGATTTAAGATGMCAGCTGAAGCCAACTGACCTGAAATGGCTCTAATTCAGTCTGTTTCACAGATATCGAGCTACAAGTTGTTGTGGCAGTAGCTGAGAGTCATCCACACACATAGTCTGAGTGCTAACAGGTTAAGCATTTCTTCAAGCGTTATTCACATCTATATTTTCCTTTATGTTGATCTTCAGGGCATTTTATTTTTTTTGTGTGTGCAGTTTCTTTCTMTCCAGCCACTTTGAATCTCTCTTTTATCATTCCATTGTGGTTTCTTTTTGGCCTTTTGTTGACTCTGTTATTGTTTTTGAGCTTCCGTGAAGTAATTTGATTTACTTTGCATAAAAATGTTAAACAGGTCAAATCAGGTCAGACTGGAGTTCTGGTTTAGGTTACTAAATCAGAGCTCCAGTCTGTGTGCCAAAAAAAAAAAAAAAAAAAAAATCACCGGAATAAAAAATATCAATCAGATCAATAACAGAAAATTCAGTCATCTCTCATTATTGTATCTATTTTAAGAACTACATTTTATCAACACATTAGTTCATTTTAGGAAATGGCTAAATTATTTAATGTGGACTTTTACGTAAACAAGTAAACTTCAGACTATAAACTCAGACTGACAAATAAAGTACCTCAAAGTGTTACTTGAGTAAAAGTACAAGTATCTTACAATAAGATTGCTTTGGTAAAAGTTAAAGTCTCCTCTAAGAATATTACAGTACTTGAATAAAAGTCTTAAAGCATCTGACGTTTTCTGTATTTAAACATCAAAAGTAAATTTTTGATATAAAATGTACTTAAAGGCACAGTGTTTAGGATTTGTTGTTTTCAGCGACATTTAGTGGTTGAGTGGTTGAATCATCCTCCCTGGTCCTCCCCCCACCCCCACCCCCCGCTTCCAAACGCAAAGGAGATGCTACGGTGTCTCTCAGGTGTCAAAAACCTTTGATAATTCCAACCGCGATGTCTACCAGCAGCTTCAGGGCTAGTGATGTTTCAAGTGGTAAGATTATGAGCTTTAATAAGTAAAATTATCCCAGCTACAATGACAGACAACAAATATTACATTTATAGTATTACATTAAAACCGTTTTTGACGCCGCCACCGCAGTCTGTCCTTCATGAGCCTTCGTAAACAAGATGGCGGTGCAAGATGGCGGCTGCTTGTAGTGGCGACCCACGACCATGGAGATATAAACAGCTTTTTATAAGGTAAAAATTATTAAACAAAGTCTTTGTCTGCAATGATTAGACATGTTTTTATTATTGTCATTAGTGATTATCTCAATTTTGGCTAAAAGATTTGACAAAATCCTACACACTGTGCCTTTAAGTATTAGAAGTAAAAGGATCGAGTAAAATTTCCAAAATGACATTTATTGTAAGATGACCCCTTCTTTCTATAGGCCGTAATGACGTTCATGTTATAATATGTATTTATTTGTAGTAGAAAAGCACAGATAACTGTGTGAAAATATAAGGAGTAGAAAAAAAGTTAGCTGAAAAATAATTACTTAAATAAAATATAGATAACCAAATCTTTTACTTAAGTAAAGTAAGTTTACTTTGTTACTTTACAACTCTGAATTTACCTTTCCAGGCATTAGAAAAATACAAGACACAAAATAATACAGTGTTCACGTTTTAAGTAGGGACCTTTGTCACGTCTAGAAATACTGAAACCAATCAACTGAACATGTTTTTTTTAGCTGTAGGACTTGACAAAAGATGTGTTTTTACACATAAAATGCTTAAGAGCTTTGATTCCCTTTAACAGGAAGAATTTGGAAAACATGAGAATGTCTTGGCCGGAAGGATAAAAATTGAGCTGTAGACAATCAGTCCTAAAACCAGCGTGAAACATTTATTATGCAGAAATGTCACCTGACCTGTTGTACGTCTTCAGAACGATGAGTAGAAGTGTAAGAATGATGATGATGCCGATGACGATGACAGCGATCATGGCTCCAGAACCTGACAGGAAAAACCGAGTCATCAACGTGTTACTATTGAAAAGTGTGTTTAAAACCTCCCTCCTGATTGTGGCAACTCTGATTTTGTGTTTCTGCCTCTTAGCAACATCATCACCCACAGACAAACAGAACACGGCAAATATTTTCTGCTCCACGCACGGCTGCCACATCAAACCGCATGACGTAACGCCTTGTTCTTTGTGAGGCACACAGTGTTTTAATATTATTATTTATTTATTCTTTTACCTGGACATGTTCAGCATCTGGTGGTCTCCACAACAAACACCATCAGAGCTGCGCGTTTTATTATATTTGACTAAAGCAGACAAACAGACAGATGCAGAGGAGGCTCTTACTCTGTATGAGGATTTGTTCCTGAGACTTGGTGACTGAGGTTGTGTTGGGAGCAGCTGCAGTGTTGGGCGCCGTTGAGACAGATGCCGTCATCTTCAGGAGTAACCTGCCGAGATACAACCACATGACATTAAATATTGATCAAAACAAAGATGAGAATGAAGAAAGAAATCAGAAATATACCATGTCTGTGAGAAATAAAAAAGTGACCCAGCTGAAGGAGTGGGTGTTATTGAAACCACATAGATAAAAACAACTTCCTGATATCTTTTAAATAACTTATTGTGTTGTATGTTAAAAATATGTTTTCAGGTGTGGAATGACATCTCTTTCTGTTGACTTCATCTCTCCAACAAAGAAGAAACAAACACTTTGTGCTCTTTGTCCACCAAACATTTACAAAAACCTTTCATGGATGGATGGATGGATGGATGAATGGATGGATGGATGAATGGATGAATGGATGGATGGATGGATGAATGGATGAATGGATGGATGGATGGATGAATGGATGAATGGATGGATGTTGGGTCTGAGCTTTTGTGATGAAATCTTTACATTGAGGACATCTTCAACAGGGCCGGTCCTAGACAATTTGGTGCCCTAGGCAATATTTCTGATGGTGCCCCCTGAGCCATTTTTTAAATCTCAATGCCAGTTTACATAAATTCACAAATTAAAAGATTTTTTATTTTATATTATTTTTCATCTTTATCCAGATTGTTCAATTAAAATAACAATATTAATACATTTGAAACCGTTTACTTCATGTCTGCCAACATCTGTTGACAGCAATGAGGAACACTTGTTTATATTATCAAGCAGCTGTGGACTGGAGCAGTTRTAGGGGGGTCCAGGGGTGTATTCCCCCAGAAATTTTTTGTAAAAGATCTACTCAAAAGTCTGCATTTTCCTGCCATTTGAAGATCGTTTTACTAAATTTTTGGGATTAGTAAACACACCACAATTTCGTTGCACTATTGTACGACTGTGCAATGACAATAAAGATGATCTGATCTGATCTGATCTGATCTTAGAGCTAATGTTTTTATTTTGTATTTCAACATTTCCTTTCAATTTGACTTATTGTTGAACATTTCTGTGTTTCTTTTTTGTTTTATCTGTGTTCATTTGGCTGAATTGTGAAGGATATTTTGTCAGCTTTGGCATTTGCGGTAAACAAACTGACAGTGACGTTGATGGATGGGAAGCACAATGTGTTTAACTACAGAACAGAAGTGCAGTTGTTTAATTTTTTTTGATCAGATATTCACCTGGTTGCTGTTATTTCATTTCTCTAACTGGGTGTGAGTGAGCTGAGAAAGAACTGGGCGTGTCCACAGATTCTAGGTTAAAGACACAGGGCAGCCCCTGAATGAGCACCTTTTCACGCCTACAACTAAGTGACCTGTTGCTAAACCGTGTGACACCCCCCCTTTCTGACTTCATCTAACTACCTGCAAACTCCCTGAGTTCAGACTCACATTGTGACTGTGCCCACCTGATCATGAGCAGTGCACCTGAACAAAGCAATTAGGATCAGGTTTACAACTGATAGGCAATATCAGGTCGTTAACACTCATACACACACCGTTTATTGTGTTTTATCCAAAGAAAAATATTGAAACACCTCCGATTTTACCTCTTTAAAGAATAATTCAATCTGTGAAGTGAGATCTGTCTGACAGTTATTAATAGTTGTCAAACATGACATCAGTCAGACTGTGGAGAAAGAGACAAAGATCCTTTTCCAGTCTAGAATAAACAACAAGCCAAACAAGCACCAGCGTTTTTAAAAATACTTTTTAGGCTTATAAAACAACTCTAAATCAACTCTAAAAAGACATTTGTGGGAAAAAAAAACATTTTTGCATCTATTTAATGTCATGTTCTTTCTCGTTTTTCTTTCTTTTAAAAGCATGAAAGATTGTTTAAACAATCTTTTAGCTTGATTTGATTTGATTTATTGATTTAACAGGAAAAGATTACTAAAAATCAAGCCTGACTCAGCATAATTGCTGTTTTACAGCA